AGATAATTGATTTATAGACTATTCTATTCTATGTTATCCATTCTACCCTTGAGACCCATTTCTCCTTCTTTTCAAATTGGAGAAAATTCATGTCTTCCAAAGAAAGCTAAACAAACAAAAACTAAAACTAAACTAAAAAACAAAACAAAACAGGAAATAAGATGTTAGCAAAGCTCATATTACTCTTTGTAGGACATTTGAGGCCCAAGACATCTCTCCTTAGAACTTGTTGTACTTAAATGAGTATTGAGTTCGGCTTATCATGCTCAACTTGATTTGCTGTGACATTCATGTATAATCTTTCTGGTGGTTTATTTTTTTTAATGTACCTGTTCCTGCATGTGATTAAAGGGCTTTAGCTGCTTTAGAGACCATGCTTCTCTCCTTGTGCTCCCTCTGCCAGTAAAGAATATTCAAGGCACTCTTGTACTAATGAGTCTTAGATTCCATCTCAGGAGAGTCTTCACAGGGCCTTTATGGGGGCATCTCCTTGCAAACTTTCGTCTGCTGACAACACATGACTATAATCCATTTCCCTTGAACATAATGTAAGTCTGACAATAATAATTCTATGTAATTCATCCTCATTGTTAGGCTTTTGTTCTTCAATCTATTAATGACTTGATTTCATACATGAAATAAGCCATAGACTGTATCAAGTCTTGAGGCAGGCCTCGAGAATGTTTTTCAGCTCCCATGATATACCCATTCATCCATCCAAACAAGAAAGCCTGGATATCTTCATGTGGCACCACAGGAAAGTCCATACACAGTCCCATGAGAGAACCTTAACTGTCCAAATCTTTCTATAGAGTTTTCAAGAGGACAAAAACCATATGATCCCTTCCTATAGGAAGAGACAAAGTATTTCTGAAAGTGGCAGAACATTTTACTTTGCAAACATTCAAGTGTCTTTTCCTTTTTGTTATGTATTTCATGGCCAGGTTTCAATTCTGAATAATTAGCAAATGTTTGCCTCATGAGAACAACCTGAGTTGCAAAAACTCATATTTAAGCTTCTCTGCTTAAAGCAATCAGTTCCATAAATTATACATCTGTTATTTGATATGCATTTTCCAATAGGTGGTGTAAAACCACCCCACATGAATACTCATTTTCACAGTAAAGGTAGAAGCAGCCTGGAAGCCTGACTTTCTGTTCTTTTTTTTTTCTTGTGCCAAGAGGCAGACACTCTTCTTTTGGAAATCCTATTTATTCCTGATGGGAAGTTTCATTTCTATCTTCAGAAACATCATTTTAGACTTGTGTAATCAGTTCAGCAAAACTGCTTCTTAAAGTGATAAATAAATATCAAATTAAACTTGCAATTAAAGTTTACTAAAAATATAGGTTGCTATAACTTTGTTGGTGATAGAAGTGCAGAAGTAGAAATGATTAATGATGATTACTAATTATGCAGCTGTGTTCAGAACCTACAAGTCTACAGAGGCATGGGTTTAAAGCTAAATAAGTGCTTCATCGTACAAAAACCTTTGTAGACAGTATCTAAATCCAGCTCATTTCTAGTCAGTACTTAAACACCCCCATCATTTGCTAATGCTTAGCTTGGTAAAGAAAACCAGAATAACAGAGTACTAGAATGACCATCTTATCTCTTCTTTCCTTTGCTGTTGCTGTTTTATTGACTGTTAGATGGAAATTTTAAAAAAATGCCATCAGTGTGAGAAATTATCAGGTACTAACAATGGTGAAGAGAAGATCATCTTGTTAAAATTACGCCTTCTTTCTTTCCTAAATTTTGGATAACCTATCTTGGCAGTTCATATTAAAAATGGCTTATAGCCTTATAGGCTAATAGAAACCACTATAAAATAATGCAACTAAATATTGACTTATAGACAGAAGACCTAGATTTGATCATTTCATCCGCAACTCAAAAGAAATCCTACACATTAGGCAGCTCTCAAATTTTTTTTTAACTATATACTTTTCAACTAGCACAAAAAGCACATTTTCCCTTTTCTTCAGTTTGTAGAAGTGTCATTATTTTAGGAAAAACAGTTTTGCATATAAAACAACAGAAATCCACAGTTACATGAAATGGTAATATCTCAAACTTAGCTCTCATCTATCCCAGTCATGTGCTACTTTCAGTGTCTAACCAATGAGCAAGAACAAAAGACAGAGAGGGAGAGACATAGGGAGAGAAAAAGGGAGAGAGGAAAGAAGAAAGGAGAGAGAGAAGAGGATATTATCACTTTTAAGAATGCTAAATAGGGGCTGCTGGGTAGGGAAGAGAACAAGAATAGTGGTGAGGAAAAAATATGACATATACAAGAAGTTGTCACCTAACAAGCTTAGCTACTGAGGCCACCAAACCGTGGTTATAAATTTTCAGATTATTTAACCTGAATGTTAAATTAGGAAGATATATGCACCTTTCCTTCACAGAGGTGGCTTGGTGTGATGAAACAGATTGAAAACAAAACAAAAAACCCTCTAGATAGATGCCTCTGTTGGAATCTAGTTCCACCACTGAAATGCAGTGACCTTGGCCATGTTACATAAGTTATGTACTCTTCTTTCCTCCTATGAGAAATGGTGACAGTGTATCCATCAACTTACCCACCTCACAGGGATATCTGAGGACCCGATAAGGTCATTTTTTTGTAAAAACTCTTTGAAAGCTATAAAGCAGCAAAATAACATATAACACAGGACCACAAGCAAGCTGCATGCTGTTCCTGGGCCCAGGGAGTCAAATTCAAGAGAAAATGGAGGAGATGGCTTTTGTCATTTTAAAGAAAAAGGCAGTTTATAGCCATGGCTGGATTTTTAAGACCGCCTTTGACATGTTTGAATGTGTTAATGTTAAGCAATTTTATTTTAGTATCATGATCATAAAAATCTACAGACTTGTTTTTCAACAAAGTGGTTCCAAGAGGTGTCCGGGGAAGGAAGCAAGGTATTCACAACTGCAGAGGGCTTTCAGAGGGCCTCAGTCATTTGGCTTCCATAACAGAGCACTGGGAGGGGACGGCGAGGCAAAAAGCCCACGAGGGGCTTGCATCTGCCTCTCCCTGTATTCTCCTGCGTGATGCAGAGCAAACTGCAGAGCTGCAGGGACAGCATCAGCCTGGAGAAACGTGCCTGCCAGCTACTCCCGCGACAGTGAGTGGTGGCAGACGGACGTGGTTAGGGAGAGGGTGGACGCAGGATCAGAGCTGCGGACGCACAGCCTCTCGCTTTTGACAGCAGCTCAAACTTCTGGGGCTCCAGAAAGTAAATAGACATTTGGAAAGAGATATGACTAAAGGATTTTCCCTTCAACTGCTCAGCATGTTACTGAATTTTGGAGGATTAAAGAAAATGAAACAAAAAACGATTGCTTATCCTCTCATTTCTTATCAATTGTTTTATCACATTTTTATAGGATACAGCCATAGCCCCAAAGCTTTGTTTGCATGAGGGGGTGTCCAGTCTATGGGTGGAAAGTTTCCATAATTCTTTCCATTCTGTTCTGTTCCTCCCTGCTCTGTTTGCTTGTTCAGGGTTTCTGTCCATTGTGATCCTAATCATAAAGATCAACTTTATTTGAGATTTTAAAGTTTTCAAGGATCAAAATGGTAGGGGGGAAAAAAAGCAGAATTCTTTCGATATAGTACCAAATATTTGCCAAATATCTGTATGGAGAGCAAATGTGACTCTTTTCTTACTTAGTCAACCATCCGATTACACTTAAGTGATTGATTATTCAATCAATACTATGTCAAGGACACCATATACCTTTTTTTTAAATCATTCAATTTAGTGAATTAACTGAGATGATGAGTTTTGTCCCTAAAATGGTAACAATGTTTGTGCACTTAAGTGTCTTTCTCATTGAGGTCTTTCCCAACTCCTGTATCTGAAATAAACTTTGACTGTTGTTACTCTGTGATGGAAATTTTAGAAACACCAGCACTGTTGGGTGGACAGATGTCTTCATCAGGAAGTCACAAATTGGCGTGAGCTAAGAAAGCGTTGATTTGAAAACCATCTTCCCCCTTGGTCTCATTTGTACTTCCTCTTCCTTTAGCTGCTCTCCAGTATGAATTCTGTCCTTTAAGTCACTACAAACTTTGTCCTGCCAGCTGGCACACACTCACACAAACCACTCTATCCTTGCATAAAACAACCATCTTGTGATTTCCTAAACGAAACTCATAGATTCGTATAGTAAGAGGCAAGAGTTGACGTCAGCTCTCTCTTAGACAACAGACTTCAGAAATAAAAGAAAAAAGTTCTGTTTGCATGGGGACAGATCCACAGATTGGGACAACCAATTCCCTCCACTCCTGGGACAGTCAATTCGGAAACCAGAACGGTCGTTGACCAGCACCAGGATGACCAGCATTCCAGGCAGCCTGGAGAACAAATTATGAGGCTTTCTTTTTATTATAATGCAAAAGCATATCACACTGACACTGGCCTAAAGCACACTTTTTAACTTAAAAGCAAATTCTAATTCTTTGAAAACTGAACATTAAAAAAACCCCTCAAACCTATACAAATATTAGTGTCTCTGGAAAAGCAATTGATAAATACACTCCAACTGTGAATATTTTCACAGTTAGGTATGTATTAAAAAATAATATATGTTTCTGGAAACAGCTATCTTTTGATAATCTCTCCAGGGCCAGAACACACACATATATTCTGTGGATTGAAGGCTTTGTGGGTAAAAGAAATCATTTTGTCAAATGGATTCTTCAGGAAAGAAGAAGACTTTCCTTTCCTAAAGAATGAAAGAAGGTATTTATTTATTTATTTTTAATTGTGTTCTCCACCCCATCATAAACGACTATAAATTGTATTTGTGGTGGCTTTGTAATGTGTCAGCATGGCTAGAATAAACTACATTTCCCAGAATTCCTATTACTGAATGTTTCTGGTTAAAGTGGGCTATAAGAAAGGTTAAAGTGAGAGATGTGGAAGGTGCAAATGAAGCAGGAGCTGTATTTTACCTCTCCCACACTATTGCTTTTCTGCTGGCTCACCTCACTGATATGAGTCAGTGCCCAGGTTTGCAACTACTCCATCTTCCGCTGGATCTTCCTTCAGCTTCTCTTATTCTTGCACCTGGTGAGCAGAAAGTAGCAACTATTCTAGAGACAGGAGTAAGACATTTGCATGTTAGAGGGTGGGAAAGGAATCCCGTAAGAAATCAAGAGCCTGAAACCTCAGTGAAATGTCTAGGGGTCCAATCTGTGGCATGTTGAGGTAACTTCTCTGATCGATTTACTGAGTGACCCTAAAAGCTACCAACTACGAGTGGGGCCCGGAACAAGAGAAAGCTCGGTAAGAAGTCCAGACTGCTGTGCAAGCAGCTCTGCCACTTGGGCCATAGAATCAGCAAGAGCCGATGGTACCTGAAATATCAGTGCCAGATGGGGATGCTGTTTGGTGCCCGTCTCAGGATCCTATAGGTAGTTCACAGTGTGGATCCTTACAAATTTGAAATAAAGCCCTGACATTGTCTGTGGATAACTAGTCTTCTTTAAAGAAATAGCTTTTTTTTTGGCTACCAGGTCTTAGTAGAAATTGAATGCCATGAGTCAACACATTACCATGTGACCTGAACTGTCTATTTCTAGGTATTGTCTGACCCAATGAGCCATAAAGTTGAACATGCACAGAAGTATCTCATTCTGAAATGGGAGTGGTATATATGAGATTGGACTTGAGCAGAACCTGAAGGTACAAGTATGTTTCATGAGCAAGTGGCCCATTATGACCAGGGTCTCTACTCCCAATATATTGTCTTCATTCTCTTGACCTGAACCTATGGTCTCTTGGGGAGTTTCCTATGACCAGGTGGTGGAATAAGGAAAAATTCAGGCCTATGTATATGGTTCTGCACAATAAGCAGATGCCACCCAAAAGTGGACAGCTGAAAACAAAACAGACAGCTGAAGCACAGTAGCGCTATGTTGGGATCACCCTGAAGGACGTGCAAAAGGGAAATACCCCCAGGGTACAGAACTTTGAGCAATGCACCTGGTTGTCCATTTTGCTTGGAAGGAGAAATGTCTAGAAATAGAATTATACTTTAATTCATGGGATGGCTAATATTTAGCTGGAACATCAGAGATTTGGGAGGAACATGACTGAAAAATTGGTGAGAAAGAGATCAGGAGAAGAGCTGGGTTGGTAGACCTTGCCAAATGGGCTTGATGTGTGAAGATATGTGTAACTATATGAAGGCTCACTAAAGGGTGAATTCAACAGAGGAGGATTTTAATAGTCAGATGGATAGGATAAGTCATTCTGTGGACTTCAGGCAGCCTGCTTCCTGAGCAACTCCTAACTATCATTGCCTAATTGGCTGATGAATAATGTGGCCATTGTGGCAGAGATGGAAATTATGCATGGACTCAGCAACATAGACTTCTAATTATCAAGGCCCATCTTGCTATGGCCACAGCAGAGTACCCAATCTGCTCACTGAATAGATCAACCCTGAGTCCCTTACACCATTCCCAGCTACCAGCTAGCCTCCTATTGACAGGTTGATTATATTAGATCAAATGGCTTCCCTTATGACAGGGTAGTGTTTTGTTCTTACTGGAATAAGTACCTACTCTGGATATAATTTTCCCTTCCCTGCACACAGCACTTTCACCAAAATTACCACCCAAACCATGTCCAGAATGACTTATTAACTATCATGTTATTTCACATAGCATTGCTTCTGAGCAAGGAATTTATTTCACAGCAAATGAGGTGCAGCAACTGGCTCATGCAATTTATTGGTCCTGCCATCTTCCCCATCACCCTGCAGCAGCTGGCTTGGGAGAATGACAGAATGGCCTTTTGAAGACTCAGTTTTGGTTAGTTGTCTAGGATGCAAAATATGCTCCAAATCATCATCCAACAAATATTTCTGTTTTTCCCATAGCCTGGATCTGAATCCATAGATCAGGAACAGGGGGTAGTTACGGGAAGACTCCTTTCACTATTATCCCTCGTGATCCACTAAACTTTTGCTTCCCATCCCTAGGACATTAGTCTCTGCTGGTCCAGAGGTCTTAGTTGCAAAGGGAAGAATGCCTCCACCAGGGGACCCAGCGATGAGTCTACTGAACCCGAAAGCCCCTGGACACTTTGACTCATGCCAATAAATTACAGGCAAAGAAGGGAGTGATTGAACCTGGGCTTTTTCTACACAGAACTAAAGGGAAGCATGTCTCCAGTGTTAAAGGTCTTCTAAATCCCCTCTTGGTGTTCTTCTATCCTGTGATTAAGCTACATCAACTCAGTTAACAGGACTGTTGAGAGCCCAGACCTTCAGGAACGAAGATTTGGTTCACCACGCCAAGTAAGGATCCACAGCTTGCTGAAGTGTTTGTTGAAGACAAAGGGAATATGGAATAGGTAGTGGAAGGAAGTAGTTTTTCGAACACCAGCTATGATCACATAACCAGTAATTCCCATCTACATATATACATGCATGTAATTTCCATATACATATACATGCATATATATATATATGTGTGTGTGTATATATATATATATATATATATTTGACCAATATTTTTTGGTATTTGTCCTCTTTCTCATACCCTTATCAGCCTGATATAAGATGTATTAATAATAGTTAACTTAATATCTCCATATGTAGGTTATAGGTTGGCAAAGGGGAAGTGTGAATTAGCTAGAATCACACTATGAATGAACACCACCCGAAGTCAAAAAAAGAACCTTGGATGCTCTTCTGGGGGAAAGGTTAAGGTGTTTTAGACTGTACTTGGGATAGATGTATCATGTTAGGTGGAGATATGACTCTGTTACTGCTTATATTTGGAGATTAAGTGCGATTTAAATAGATGTGTATGAGTGTCAAGTTGTCAAGGAATGGACTTGTGTAGGCTGTAGAACTACAGTCGCCAGAATCCCTTCCCCTGTGTATTTCTGGTTAGAGTGAGCCAGAGGAGACATTCTTGTGCAAAATTTGGAAGGAGAAGTGAAGCAGCAGCCATTTCATAGCTCATACATGTTGTTTATTCTCTGCCGTCTCACCTCCTACCTGAAGCAGCAGCTGGGCCTGTCACCTGGAGCCTCCTGAGTCAGGTATGTGTGCTTAGCTTTTGCAGAACATCCATGCGAACAAGATCAGAGACATTTAGCAGTGATACAAGTTTCACCCTGTTCTCCTGAGTGACAGCTGTACCTCTAGGTTCCAGCTTGATCTCGCTGTCCACATTTTACATCCATCTTCCTTTCCTGACAGTTTGTCCTGGGACTTGAAGCTCTAGTATCAGATGTGGGGACAACAACCTTATGGATGTGACTTAACCACACCCCACAATTGTGAAAGGTCAAATCCCTTTAACTCTCTCTACATACACATCCTAGTGTTTCTGCTTCTGTGACTGAATCCTAACTAATACCATGTTTTGGTCAAGTTTTAAAAAGTTATATTCTTTAAAAAAAACCTCAGCTTAATTGAGGTAGAGTTGACATTACAATAAACTGCACATATTTAAATTGTACAATTTCATAAGTTTTCACATAAACATTCACCCACGAAACCATCACTCTAATCAAGAGAGTGAAAATGTTCATCGCCGTCCAAAGCTCACTTCTTCCTCTTTCCAGCCCCTCTGCTGGTCTCCTTGACTCTCTTTTCCCATCTCCCCAGGCAACCACTGATGTGCCTTCTCTTATTCTGGATTAGTTTGCATTTTTTAGAGTTTTATATAAATGGGATCATACAGAGTGCGCTCTTTCTTGTCTGCCTTATTTCAGTCAACATAATTATTTTGAGAGTTATTTATGTTGTTATGTTTTCATTCTAAGACAGTTTAATATAAAAAGTTAAATTCTTACTGCAAATGTTTTGTTTAAGTATAGTTTGGTCACAAGCATTGACATGCGGTGTGACTGGGCATAATTCAGAGAAACACAAATCCAGACAAGCCGAGGTGATATGTCGGGAGCATTTCCTCAGAGCAAGCGGGCTAGAGGCAGCAGCACCGCATCAGCCTCACCGTAAGAGGAGAAGCCCAGCTTGTTTGTAAAGGGCGTTGAAAAGCTGGACACGGTGTAATGCAGAAATCTTAGCCAGTGGAGCAGGACTGTCCTGTGCCACCTCCAAAGATTACTAGGGGACTAGAGAGGAAATGAGACACCACCTGCTACATTTTGAGTGTGGCATCTTCTGAGAGAAACATGGAATGACCTCAGCCTGAATAAAGATGTGCCATTCTTGGACTTACCTTTCTTCAGCACCGTATCCACAAGAGCGGAGCAGCCCCAGACGGGATCCTTCCACCCAGTTTTTCTCTGGCCTAGTTTTCTCTCATGTTGCTCAGATAAGCCAGGAGTGACAGATTGCTCCACAGGGTCCCTCAAAGCCTCCAAATATGAGTCACACAGAAAGCAACATAATGTATTGGGCATTTGACTGAAAACCAAGAGATCTGAATATAAGTGCCCTGGATCTGGCACTTAATTATTAGCTGTGGGACTGCAAATCGATCTGATTCTCTCTGAGTTTCATTCCTTCAGTGGTAAACAGGAAGAGTTGTACTGTGTGATCTTAAAAAATCTCTTCTTTCTATGCATTAAGGGATGGTAGAGTAAAGGTCTGGAGGATTAAACGATGTGGTCATGCCAAGAACCATGTAGACAACCTGAATCAATTTCCCCTTTGTAACTGTGGGCACTACCGCATAGCCAGCCATGCACTTACCCATCCGTCCATTGATAAGTATTTACTGAACCCTAACTTGTGCAAGACATTGAGCTCGGCCATGGAGACAGGAAGAGGAATGTTATCCAGCTTCTTTATTCAAGATGCTCACAATTCACTGAAGGAAAACAGATTCATACATAACTAATTACAACATTGGATATCTTCAGTAAGAAATGTATTAAGGACAGAGATGGTGTTTTGGTAATATCTCGATCCTCAGAATCTTATACAGAGTAAGAGGAGAATAATTGTTTTTTTGTTGAAGTAACTGAGTATGAGTACATTTAGGTCAAAGGGTATTTCAGAAAGTACTACAGGGAGATACAAGAGGGGGAATTAAAATGTTAATTTCAAGCATTGTTCCTTTAAGAAAACCTATG